CTTCTCTCTCTCTCTCTCTCTCTCTCTCTCTCTTTCTCTTTCTCTTTCTGACTCCCTCTCTCTCTCTTTCTCTCTTGTGCTCTCTCTATCTGTCTCTCTCTCTTTATCTCCCACTATCTCTCTCTCTCTTTCTTTTTCATTCTTTTCCTGTCTTTTCCCCCGAAACTTCTCTCTCTCTCTCTCTTTCTCTTTCTCTTTCTCTCTCTCTCTCTTTCTCTCTCTCTCTCTCTCTTTCTCTCTTTCTCTCTTTCTCTCTCTCTCTCTCTCTCTCTCTCTCTCTCTCTCACTCTCTCTCTCTCTCTCTCTCTCTCTCTCTCTTTCTCTCTCTCTCTCTCTCTTTCTCTCTTTCTCTCTTTCTCTCTCTCTCTCTCTCTCTCTCTCTCTCTCTCTTTCTCTCTCTCTCTCTTTCTCTCTTTCTCTCTCTCTCTCTCTCTCTCTCTCTCTCTCTTTCTCTTTCTCTCTTTCTCTCTTTCTCTCTTTCTCTCTCTCTCTCTCTCTCTCTCTCTCTCTCTTTCTCTTTCTCTTTCTCTCTTTCTCTCTTTCTCTCTTTCTCTCTCTCTCTCTCTCTCTCTCTCTCTCTCTTTCTCTTTCTCTCTTTCTCTCTTTCTCTCTTTCTCTCTCTCTCTCTCTCTCTCTCTCTCTCTCTGTTTTCTTTCTCTTTCACTTCCTTTCTTTTTTTTATGGGAGATGTCTGTTTGTTACCTACACTTAGAAAGTAAACATAGTAGACCATGTCCTGCTTCTGCCATTTGTACTCATCCAAACTCTGAGACATTTCTTTTACTATTATGCGAATGTAAATACAGACAATGACCAATGGCAAATAAGTACCTTTTCATACTCCCCTGCTGTGTCTTACATATAAGCAGAAAATGGGATACCAGGATTGTGGATGAATGAGAACCTCTTTATATTGGTTATGTACATACTTCTTGTGGGTATATCAGCATATGTTTAAAGCATACATTTTCAGCCTTGCTTTGCCATTGCCAACGATATCTATAAAGCAGGAGATGTTTTCTTAAACTTTTGATTTATTAAACATATGCACACATGTTGGTGCTCTATGGTCTGCTCTAGCCCATCTTTGAAGGGTTAGGATGTTAAATTGCAAGTCAGAATTTTACTTTCACCCATGCTACTATCTTAGTTGTTGCATTAAAAAAAAAAAGGAAAATATTTCCATAAATTTTATTAGAAGATACGGATATGATAAAGGCCACTGATTATAAAGGAAAGTAGTATGCAGGCTGAAGAGAAATATTAAGTTATTAACCCATTTATGACGGGTGTCCCACATATGAGACGCCTGAAAAAAAAAATTCTGGGTGTCCCACTGGTGTGACGCTGGATCAGAGCTTGCGCTCCGATTCCATCGCAGGCTGTGGCCGGCGTGTGGGCAGATTCGGGCCAGCCCCATGCCTGGAAACTATTATTTTCGGCTTCAAAATATACAGTTATTTGGTCCATATTTATGCACAGTGAGCAATTATTGCCATTAAATGGAAATGAATGACTGCTTTCTTTGGCAGTATTGATGTGTAATTTGTTCTTATTTCAGATTCTTTCGAAGCCACCCAAAGACAATCTCTTCAGATGAAAGTGGTGACAGTAAAATGGAAGTGTCACACTTGGGAAGTTTAGGTAAGCTCCGGGTGATTACAGTTCTTTTTATAGTGAAAATGTAATTGCCTCAAAGGCATACTTAAAATGTGAATGTTATTATATGAATATGCATTTTATCACAAGCTTTTCAAATCTGAGGTATTTTAGCATACAGAATCTATATCTTACTAATTGTCTTTTAAATGTTTTGCAAATTCATAATGTAGCTCCTGGGGTATTGCAGTTTTTTCAAAAGTTACAGATGTATACATTTTTGAAAGTTATTTAACCCATTTGATTATTAGTATTGTAATTTAAATGTATTTTATTGCATAAATATTTTATATTGCATAAATGTGTGATCAACAGGAACACTTTTTTCTTGTTACTTTAAAGTTTAGATTATAGATCTTTTGGATCTTATTTTAAATGTATAAATGAATGTGTAAATGAATCAAGGTTATGAATTTTTATATGAAAGTTTAGTAACGGGTTTTCATTTAGCCATGTTTTGCCAGTTCCTTTTTTATTACTATTTTTTTCTCTCTCTCCTCTGCATTTTCAGGTAGTATTCTAAAAACCCTTAATTTCATTTAAAGATGGCAAGAGCAGTTCCGACCCCACCTTCTCAACTTCTGGTGGATCTGGTAACCACAAGAACTCTCAAACGCACTCACACTCTCAGACTCTCTCCCAGTCGCAGTCTGGCTCAGGATCAGGGGACAACTGCGACAACACAAGGTGAATTTAGTTTATCATTCTTAGTGAATTTTCTGTATTGGAGTTGGTGTGTATTATTGTTATTCATTTTCTTGCAGTAGCTATTATTATTGTTGTTATTTTTGTTATTATTATGATAATCATGATTATGTTTATAAGTGATCATATTTTTATAAATACTATTGTTATTATTTTTTGTATTATTAACAGTAATAATATTATTTTGATATGGTTATTATTAATATTATTATGGTAATGGGTATTGTCCTAGCTCTGATAACTTTTCTCATTATTGTTATTACCTATTTATTTATTTATTTATTTATTATTGATGCACAAATAGAACAAAAAGGAATAACTCTTTGAAATGCATACTTTACGAATGTCTAGGAAATCATTAGGAAAGATAATCTTGTTTTCGGCCATGATGAATTTCTAGCTAGTTATATTTCCCAAACAGGAAATCAGAGAGCACAGGTAATGGCAGCGGGAGCGGAGACAATGGCTCTTATCGGCATGTCCAGCTGACGGAGGAGGTGCTGTCGAGGCATAATGCGGACATGCAGAAGATGTTCCTCCAGCGGCAGCGGACAGGAGGCAAGCTCTACAAGGACAAGTGGAAGATTAAGTCCATGAAAAAGCTGATGAAGAAGTCGGGTGATCGGGTGAGCGTTTTTTATTTTTTATTACTTAGTGTTATTTTTATATATATGCATATGTTTATTATTGTTATTGTCATTATATTTATTATTATTATTATTACTATTACTATTACTATTACTATTATTATCATTTATTATTGTTTTATTTTTATTATTATCATAATCTTTTTTTTTTTTAGGTTAATGAAAAGAATCAAATTTTTTTTAATGTTCTTCATGCAGATGAAATAGAAAAGTAAAGAGAAAAAAAAAGTAAGGCTTAAGTTGTCAGAATCAAGAGCAACTCAGATTCATGTGCTTGAACATCATCATCATCTCATAGAATAGCATGCTAAGTCAATTCTCTTAACAGAACCACGGCATAAAGCGCTCAGGGGCCGTTTTGGAACAGGAGGCCAGTGTCCAGAAGCAGCCTTACCTTGCCCCCCCGTCAGGTGTTCCAGGGCCCCTGAAGCCCCCCCCAAGAGAGGGCTGGTCACAGAATGAGAGTAAAGCATCAGAGACTCCAGGACAGTAAGTGATTATTATTTTTATTATATTTAAGAGTCTCAGACATTTTTCTGCATTGCTTATGCTTTTCTTTTAGGTTGTTCATTTTGTTGTATGTTTCTTTATTCATCCGTAATATCTGTTTCATCAGATGTCCATTCTTTCTTATTCCTTCTCTTCTTTTGTGCTGTCTAGTCCAATGGTAGTATTTTTATCTAGCAATCATGCTGACTTGTGTTCAATCCCACGTGCTTGCCCTTGCACACAAAGGGTAATTTAGAAGCAAACAGCATGTCTCAGCATAGAATATCCATTATAACAAATGGAATTAAACTAAATTAATTATTAATTTTCTTCTTATTTATCTTCAGCATCATCTTCATTGCCTTCTTTTTTTGTCTTTTATAAACTCACAAATTCTTTCCCTTTCCCAGATCCAGCACCACCAATGTGGGACCAAATGTGCTGCCAACGGGTAGACTTGCAGCACCCCCGTTTCCAGGGATTATGCCTGGGTATTACCTCCCAACGAGCACGTCAAGTGTGTCCCCCATTCCGCCCATGGAGAACCTATTAGTTCCCCAGCCTCCTGGTCCAACTCTGTTGATGCCACCACAGCAGCCAACTTATATTCAGCCACAGGGTATGTTTTGATGGTGATTTTTTCTCTCCTCTTTCCTTTCTTTTCTATTTTTCTTTTTTATTTATTTTTTTATTTAATCTTTTCCCTAGCTTTTGATATTGATAACCAGGGCTTGTCCCCTCTTTTTCTTTTTACTGTAACCTATTTTTAACCTTTTAGGAGTTTGTAAAAAGATTTTTTGAACAGATAATATTAATCCCATTTGTTTGTTTGTTTTACCCATTTATTGTTATCCTTTCTGTGAATATGATATAAAATTCTGCATTTTCCATTGCATCCTTTAAGTCAGTTTTGTGGAAAAAATTGGTAATGATAGTTAAGGTAATAGTGATTTGTCAGTCATTTTCCTGAATTTGCACAAAGCAGACATTATCTTTGTGTGCATGGTCCCAAATGACTGATGGTCTGTTATCTGCACAAATTTAGATACAGTTTTATTTTGATATCATTGAGAAAAGAAAGAAAGGCATTGGTTCTCACCACAGAGGAGGCATGATTGAGTGCTTGAAGGGAGTTAGAATTAATTTTTTTAAGATGAGCTACTTAATAAAGTGTGATTTCTGTTTTCCTTAGCGAGCATGGCAGTCCCTGTCCAGTATGTGGGTGCTTTCCCCGGTGTGATGTACCAGCCAGTTGGACCTCCTCTGTTTAACGCACCTCCCCTCATGCTACCTAATGTGGTCTTCCAACACACAGTCGTACAGTCTCCCCATGGACAGATCTCTATACCACTTTCGTCCGATGGAGAAAAGAGGTCTGGTGCAGAAAGCGAACAGGAAATGGACCCAAATCAGCCATCGGGCAAAGTACGTTGACTTTAGATGGCTATGAATGTGATGTCTTTAGCTGCAGTTATTTATGTTTAATGAAGTGAATGGAAA